AAATAGCTTCCCTTGCCCTTCTCTTTCACTGTGTTTTCAGAGTTGATCATAACCATACACAGTGTTTGAGGTGACTGTGTTAACAGCACATAGCATAAAAGCAGAATGCACTCTATGTTATCCTGTAGTGTTTCTTTAATAAAACCTTCCATTGCAAAGTTGGGGTTTTTTTTGGTGGATAGGGTATTTTGTCCCAGTTGTACTTAAGAAGTTAACTTGGACATTTCAAGTGCTTGTGTACAAATTGTTCTGCCTTGAGCAGCCTGACTGGCTTTATTTCTCGTAGTGTGTGACACTTGAGAAAGGGACAGGAGTGACTAACGTTCCTTTCCTTTCCTTTTTTTTTTTTTTTTTATTTTCCCTTGAACAATCTTCCTGGGACTAAATCCTCTAAATCCTCTTCAGGTTCATGTGGGAAAATAATTCTTTATTTTCAGAACAAATAATACAATGAGTAAGTAGACCCCCTTCTTTGACAACCACCTTTATTTCTGGACTGCTTATGGCTGTAAGGATGGTATGAATCCATGTGTTTTCGGTAATTTAATCGAATGATTTAGTCGTGCGAGTCAGCTGCGTGAAGGGTAGCTGAAATGCATTTTAGGTGTTAGCACGTGCACTTGCTAACGGAGTTGGCGAGTTCATGCTAATGTACAAACCAAGATTAATGGACAAAGAGAGATTTTTGGTTCCTACTAGTGACCTCAAATGGAGATAACCTGTAACGAATTGTAAGACCGAAGTGTTTAGGGAGAGTGTACTGATGCTGAAACTCCAGGTCAGCAAAGACTTTGGATCATGTGCCTGGATACCTACGCTGAACCAAAGAGAGAGAGTTTTGTGGTGGTTTTGGGGAGAGGGTACTGGTGAGTGTCTGTCCACCTGCATGAAAGGCTCCGAGATGACTGACAGGCTCTAAATCAATACAGGGATGAAAAAGCCTTCCATCTCCTGGCTGCCAATTTTGGTTCGGCAGAGATGAGGAAGGACTGAAATTGCTGTCATCTTTCTGGGGATGGATGAGAAGAGAATCTTGATCTCAGCATATTTCCTACTAGTATGTCTCCCTGTCAGCCCCCTCGCTTCTGCCACAAATGATTCTAAAAAGGTCTCTTATCGAAAACTGCCAGCCCAAGGGAACAAGGGGAATGGACTGTGAACGTTGAGGTACCTTTTCAGTGCCAAGGTTTTCTTTGAGGCAAGCTGTAATGCTGCCCATATGATGTGCTGGTACCGTTCAAGGTGTACCTTGGTCTGTCCTTCTGTAGACAAAAGCTCTGACTCCAGAGCTGCTCCGCTGGCACCTCTCACCGGCACTGCTTTTTGCTTCGTTTTCTGGGCAGAAGGAGAATTAAATTGTAGGTGCCTGTAATTCTTACACTTGAAATCTTCAGGACGCTTTGTGCCTGCACTGGGTCCTGCATTATTACCAAGATCTTTTGCTCTCCCTTGGAAGACTGGCTGCCTCACTTGATTTGCTTCCCTTTTTTTTTAGTTTTGCCTGGCCTCTCCATGCTCGTAGGGCACACGTTGTTCTGATGATAATCATTTGTGCTCAAGCAGGGCATTAGACTGGATTTTGTTATTGCCTGCTGTATTAACTCCTGAAACTTTGCGGTAATGCATGAAAGCGCCCGGAGGGAGCGGTCAACTTCATTAACACGAGTTTTGCAGAGAGCGTGTGTGACTGAAGCAAAACTTCATGGAACTGAAGCAGCTCTCAGCTCCTCCTCGGTGAAGCAGTTTATCGGGTCTGAGCCAGAAGGTCACAGTTACTCACCCGTTGTTACTTCCTGAGCATTATTGTTATTTGTCCCTGAACAGGAGCTAGAGCAGGTAGATGGTTCCTGGGATCTGTCAGGAGAGTACTGATATTAAATTTAATCCTGTTTCATCCCTGGGGAGGAGTGAGCATACCTGAATGTTAGCATCATTTGAAGGACATTTGGGTGGCATCCGTGAAATGCGTTTGGTTGGTCTGATCAGTTCCTGGTGCGGGTTTGTCCTCTGCCACCTTTGGGTCCCGTAAAGAGACCAGCGGTGTACTTGGCTCAGAGAAGCTGACCTTGCCCCAGGTCAAATGTGAGGCTTGTCGAGACGTTTTGTACAGGCGCAGCTCCCTTTGCTCTGGTTTATACTGTACTTGGACCCTGGGAAAAAGAGTAACTGCGTTTCCTAAAATACAGAGTGCTTTGGAATACCTGACGCCTATCTGGATGCTCAGTGCAAGTACTTCCAAGTCCTGGATCCCCTTGGAAAAGGACCTGCTACTTTTAGAATGGGGTTCTTCAAGCTGTCTCCAGCTGGGGCCTCATACGATGGGGGCACCCTAAGTCTCTCGGTAGTGCTGAAATCCTTGGTCTTGGTTCTTCTGCAAAAGAATAATGTGGTGGTGTGTGAGTGGGGTAAGAGGTGGCCCTTATTTCTGGCGTTTCTTGTCCAGCACCGCTGTGCTCCTGAGGGTGAGGTTCTTGGAGAGAAGGATCCTTTCCCTGTAGCACAGTATACCAGCTCTTAACTGGTTTTATTGAGAGCTGGGTGGCAGCTGACCCACATAAAGATGATTACATATAAAGAGAACATACCGGCACCTAGTTTTGCACATTATACAACACGTAGTGTGCTTGTTCTGATGTCCAAGCCTTGCCAGTACAGTCTGCATTGCTCTTCAACAATCCAGTAAAAGCTAATTGCAGAGGAAGAGGTTTGCTGTAGGTTGTAAGCAAGCTGAGGTTGTTCAGCATGGCCTGGGAAAAGTGGTTGCACAAAATCAGGGGCTTTTAAAGACTAAAATAGCGCAGTGCCCTTTGTTGCTAATGGCGAGAGAGCAGAAGTTGGGCGAGGACAGCACTTACCTGTCTCGGTGGGTGCTGCAGGGGTGGATCATTACCAAACCCCTGGGAGACAACGCAGGAAGGGGTGGGAGTTGACGCAGCTCTATTAAACCTGCCCCATCTCCGGGAAATGGGGCCTGCGGTGGCACCAGTTGTGTCAGCGCCCTGGCTGAGGCTGGACCCGGAGTTATTACCCACAAAGGAGCAGACTCTACTGCGCTTGGCCTTTTTCCTTGCTCTTGGCACAGTTCCCCGCACAGGCGGAGGGTCGTGCCTGGCCCGTGCCAGCCAGCCGCCCTCGGCCAAGCTGGGAACGGAAGCCCAGAAGTGCCAACGCTCAGAGCTGTGAAACTGGGAGCTGGTGTGTGTTAGTGCAAGTGTTCATCCAGCCACAGCCTTAAAGGTTCTTGCCCTTAAAGGTGTCTCTCTCTCTCTCTCTCTGCTTTTTATTTTATTAGTATTTTTGTCTGTGTCTCTCTAACCTTGAAATGCAGGTGTCCTAGATCAACAAGAAACAAGCTAAAATGCACTTTAGTGGTTACAATTATACCTAACCATGTTGAGCCAAGCTGTTCAAATTGGTCGTTTACAATGTAATGGCCTATTTGGCCATAAGGAAAGCGATGCCTTCCTGAGAAGAATAGATTTTTACCTAGGCAATACAGGGCAGATGGGAAAAAAAAAAAATGTTGACAGCAATGCAGATTGTAAATGGGATTGATGAGATGTCACAGCTCCACATCCCTTCCCCCACCCCGGCCACTTTGCAGAGCAGGGCTGGGGCAGGAGGAGTTTGTGGTGAGTTTTGGGTTGGCTTCATTGCATATGCTATTACTAAGAGTATGGTGTAGGAGCCCCTTTTCATGCTCACTGACGCCAACACAGGCACCGTAAGTTTTCTACAATGTTTGTCCCCACCCCTGGAATAAGCCATTATCTTTAACACTAGGTCATGCTTGGACTTTGTGCTCATATAGTAAATTAAAAGGAGATAAATTATCTAATCATGCGGGGTCTTTTATAAATAAAGCGGGGTGGGGAGGGAATGTTTGGGGTGGGCGTGGGTTGGTTTGGTTTTTTTTTTTTAAAACCTGTCACAAGTTGTGCACCTAAGAATTGAATTGTAGGGGCAGTTGAACCTTGAGCCATGCACCACCCC